CTTTCTTTCTTTCTTTCTTTCTTTCTTTCTTTCTTTCTTTCTTTCTTTCTTCCTTCCTTCCTTCCTTCCTTCCTTTGCTTCTCTTTATGTCAATATGCAAATAATCCTACAAATCTTAAAAGAAATTGAGTGTTAACACTGACATTGTGTCTATGTGCAATCAATAATATTGAGTTATACTTATCTAGCACCTTGAGGCTTACAAATTAGTTTGTAAATAGCTAGTCTGAGCCTCACCATAATCCTATGAAGCAGGTCATGCAAAAACTATTAATTTCCATTTTACAGATGAGAATAGTAATTTCCAAAGAGAGTAAGCCCTCTGTATAATGTCACCAACAGGAAAGTGCTTGTACCATAATAGTTTTTGAGTTAGAAGGAACCTTAGGGGTCATCTGGTCCAACCCCTTCAGTTTACAGATGAGGAAACCAAGGCCCAGGGAGGTTAAATGATTTGCTAAGGCCACACAGGTAGTAAGTGGGTAGAGTTGGGATTCAAACCCACATCTTCCGGTTTCAAATCTTAGGCTTTTTCTATTCTTCCACTCTTTCATAAATACTGCTTACCAAAATTGTAGACATTTAACACAAATTTTCTAATTCTTTAAACAGGATTTTCTGGTTTTGACTGTCTTAAGGCAGCTAGGTGGTGTGTCAATTAGAGCGTTGCAGTGGGAATCAGGAAGACTTGATTTCAAACATGGACTCAGATACTTCTTGGCTATGAACCCTGGTTGGCCTAGTCATCTAATCTCTTTCTGTCTGAATTTCCTCATCTGTGAAATGGAGACGGTAATAATAGCACCTGTCTCACAGGGTTGTTGTGAGGACCAGATGAGATCATCATTATAAAATTCTTTGGAAAGTATATATAAATGCTAGCTATTATTAATGTACTTATGAGGAATGTTGTCAGAAATCCTTGTAAACTTGGAGCCTTAGCAAGTTCTGCTTTCATCACATGAGAAAAGCATCAGCAGGAGCTGCAGGAAAAGCTTTCTCCTGATCTCTATTTAGAATAGGAAGTAGAACATGTAGCCACGTCATGATACAAAAATAACTTGCAATAGGACATGACATTGGATTGAACTGGAATGAAGTATAGTTTAATATTTGCTGATATTAATTGTTCTAGATCCTGCCAATGGATAAGCTTTTCTTGGAGTGTTATTTGGACATTCTACTTGGTATGAAGTAACTCCTGTATATCATTATCGTGTCATTTAGCAAATTGCTTCTCTTTGGCACTGAAGGGTCCTGAGTGTCCAAGCAAATTGATATACTGCATCCTCTGTCTCACTAAGGTATCCAGAGGAGGAATTTTTTCATATCAACACAAATATATTTTTATTGAGAAAGATGAGTCAATTTATGTTCCTAACCAAATGCTTCTATGATCTGTCATTTTTAACTCCTTGGGAAAAAGTTCTAGATCAGGGGTTCGTAACTGTTTTTGTGTCATGGACTCCTTTAAACATCTGATGTAGTGAAGCCCATGGACCCCTTCTCAGAACAATGTTGTTAAATGAATAAAGGAAAATACGTAGGATTAAAAAAGAAACAAATTACATTGAAATATAATTTCAAAATGGAGGGAGCTAGATGGCATAGTGGAATAGAGTGCTAGGCCAGAGTCAGAAAGACCTGAATTCAAATCCAGCTCCAGATACTTATTAGTTGTGTTTTCTTGGGTACATCCCTTAACCCGTTTGCCTCAGTTTTCTCATCTGAAAAATGGGGATAATAATAGCACCTACTTCATGTTGAGAAGAATAAATGAAATAATATTTCTAAAGCACTTAGCATGGTACCTGTACGTAGGCTATATAAATGCTAGTTATTTTAATTATAATATGACTTTCTATCAGCTAATAGAATATATGGTTGTATTATATAATTATGACAGTGTGTTATGTAATTATTGTTAACTATTATTTGCAGTTATCAAATTGTTTTAAAAAACAAGTTCACAGACCCCAAGTTAAGAACACCTTTTCAATTTTTTGGCGTACCACATGGCTAGTATGTGGTCAGTCAGGAATATACTGAATTATCTGTCATTTCTGACCTTCACCCTTAGAGCTCAGAATAGGGCTGAGGGATAATGGATACAGCTGGTGCTGGAAGAGACCTCAGTGGTCATCCAGTCCAGCTTCCCTCATTTTATAGAGAAAGATATTGAAGCACAGGGAGATTAATAGACTTGTCCAAGGAAACATCAGAGGTGAGATTTGAACCTGGGTCCTTTGACTTCGGAAGCACTTGTGCACCTAGCCTACTCTGTTTCAGAAGGGGACTGGTCACTCTTAGGATATATTTAGGGGCTACTATCTACTTTGAGAGGAACTGGGCAGATAATAATTTGGTCACGTCCAACTCTTCGTGACCCTATTTGTGGGTTTTCTTGGCAAAAATACTGGAGTAGTCTGCCATTTTCTTCTACTGTTCATTTTACAGATGAAAAACTGAGGCAAATGGGGTTAAGTGACTAGCCCATGGTCACACAGCTAGGAAGTGTCTGTGGCCAGATTTGAACTCAGGAAGATGGCTCTTCCTGACTTCAGGCCTGGCATTCTAGCCACTGTACCACCTATATGCCTTAGATAATAGTTCAGTCTGTGACTTAGTGACTTCTTTGTTACTATTACCTAATCTCAATGGGAACTACATTCTTTATGAGACAGTATTGTTAAATAATTGAAAGCACTTTGTAAAACTTAAAGAGCTATATAAGTGGTGTTGTTGTTGAAAGATATTCTATAAAGGTAGGGGGTTCATACTGGCCTGACCTATGTCACTTACCACTTCTTCCTACTTAGCTCCAGTCTTTGCTATTTTCCTCCTTCTTCATGTTTCTCTGAGGGTTTTTCCCCAGTATGCATATATTAAGTGATGGACAAACTAATTTTGTTTGTGGTATGCTCCAAACAATGCAAAAAATTAGAGGAAAAAAAACGCTGTCAAAGATGAATGATGTCAATCGGGAAGGCGAGGGAGGTTTTTAGCTCTTAGGATAGTGAGTTGGAAGATATCCAAAACTATTTGGAAAAAAGTAACATACAGACCTAGCTTACTGATGTTAATCAGACATAAAATCACAATTATCCTCTGTCATTATTTTTATATTAGTAACAGCTCGTATTTCTATAGTGCTATCAGGTTTATGAAACACATTCCTTGAAATAATTATGAAAAGTGGAAACTGCAAGTTTTATTATCCTCATTTTATATAGGAGGAAATGGAAACTGTTGGAGGTTACATTAGTTAACTGAGGTCATCCAATTAGTAAATGCCAAAGTAAGGATAAAAACCCATGTCTTTTCTGACTACTAAGTTAAAATTTCTTTCTACCATACAAAGTAGTGGTTAACTGTAGAAGCTAGCATTTTATACAGTGCTTTTAACATTTGCAAAGTGCTTTACAAATATCTCATTTGATCCTCATAGCAACCCTGGCAATTTGGTGCTATTATTATCTCTGTTTCAGATTTAGATTAAGAAAATAGATATGAATATTATAAATACAGAAACTGAGGCAGACCAGAAGTTAAGTGACTCATTCACAGTCCTATAAGTATTGTAGACTTTTGGAATATAAGGGGAAATGCCCATTACAAGTATATATCAGAAAGCAATCCAAACTGCATGCTGTGAAATTATAATGCCCACCCTCAGCTTCAAAGAAGAGATATTGAATGCAACTCCATTTATTTGTAGAGATGGGGAAACATCTATATGAAAAACTGATTATATCATCAGACTTTTTAAATTATATTGGTCAGTTTTACAGATTTTTTTCTTTCTATTTTTCCCTTCATTATTTTAAGGGGTGGCACTCAGAATGCGATGGAGTTACTGTAGGAAATATTGGTGATGCAAAAAAAGAGATGGTAATAACATTTACTTTTAAAAAGCATGTGTTGGATTTTTTTTTCTTTAGCTAATGAGCTGATTGTTTTTCTGTCTTGTGAATAATAGGGTCCACAGGAAGCATCGTCATCCTCACTTGTATTGAATGAACCATCTTGTTCTTTTTCTTCCCTGGAGAGTTCAGTCAAATCACCCAGCAGCTCGTCGTCTTCCACATCTCAAGCAGCGGCCTACCCAGAAAGGCAGTCTTGGCTCGACATCGTCAACAGTTCCTCTACTACTGAAGAAGTGGAACGGTCCATAATGGTTCAGATCCATTCACCTGCTCCCCCAGAGGCCTCCGAAAATGGCCTTGTCAAATCTGAAAGTGGATTTCTGAACTCCTTGTCAAGTGAGGAGACATCCTCACTGAACAGCAGTTTAGATCACCTCTCTGTTCCTGATGATGCTGTAGGACTCAAGACATCAGACAGAGGTAACTACATAGAAGAGTTGTCTCATATGTGTACACATGGTGCATATACTATGTGTGCACCCCCACATATTTTCTGTAAAAAATTCTTATTTCTTTGTAGAAGTATAGCCCACTTTCAGGCACATGGTAAGTGTTTGATACGTGCCTATGGACCTGATTTAATTGTAGTGATAGATAAATGTGAATTAAGAACTTTCTAAACTATGGTTATTATGACTGAATAACAGGATTATTGAGTTGGTTCAACCCTATGTTATCTTTTTCAATTCAGTGGCCACTTGATAAACTCAAGACTTAGTTCATAACCTTCAAGTATTTTTCAGTATTCTAGATTAATATTGTGTGCTGATGAATTATTTCAATTTGACAAATGCTTTTTAAATACATGAGTTGTAATTCTAGAGAATGATTCTGATTTCTACAAGTCACACAGGAAAGCAGATTTTTACAAATGTATATTCTGTTGTTTGTAGCTGTCTAATTCAGGGTTGCTCTTCCTTCCTTCTTTCCTTCCTTCCATTAATAAGATAATGGAATCAAAAGATGGATACCTGAAAAGATATGATTTAGTCCAATTGCCTCATTTTATAGAGAAGAGAGTTGAGTTGTAGAAAAAAGTATCTAGTGCAAGATCATTTAATATGTTGAGTCCTCCATAGGTCATTTAATTCCACTCTGTTGTCTTTCTCTTTTTTTCTCTCTCTCTCTCTCTCACACACATATAAATACACACACACACATGCACACGCACACACAATGTGTTTTAGATAGTCATTTCACAAATATATTCTCTGTTACACAGAAGAAAATGACAATTGTTAGCTCCAATGCAATTCAATCAATCAATTAACAAACATTTATTAAGCTTCTACTATATGTCAGGCCCTGTGTTGCACATTGGGGATATGAAGACAAAATGAAACATTTTCTATTTTCCATGAGCTTAGATTCTGCCAAATCCGCTGACATTGTTGCATACTTAAGTCTAGTCTAATATAAGATCTAGTCTAGTGTAAATTAGTAGATGTATCTTTATGCATGAAGGACAATACATTTTTATTATTTATTCTCTTTGTAAATGAGTTTGTTTTCCATATATATATATATATATATATATATATCAGTTATGCTATTAACTCTGAACACTAGCTACTCATTTCTTCATTTTTGAAGTAGGAACAACTTCTGTGCTAAAATTCACTAAATTCTTTGGCCCATCTGACTTTCTGTGTTTTTCCATCTTCTGTGCTGACAAGCAAATCTAGTTGACAATATTCTGAATACATTGAATTTTTATTTCTATGGTGTAACCTTAAATAGGGCTCCTATGAACTAAGGGGCACTGGCCAAACTTCTGTAATGTCAATGTGCTACAGAGAGCTTCCAGATTCTATTAATCCCTGTTTCCAAATTGGGGACATGGGGAAGGCCCTGAAAAAATACCTGATTGTATCCTGGTCTGAAGGATGACATTCTCATACAGCAATATGGAGGATCATAAATTAGAGGGTCATCAATCTAGAACTCAGAGGGACTTTAGAGGTCATCTAGTCTAACTCTCTTATTTTACAGATGTGAAAACTGAGGACCAGAGAGAAAAAAAAATTATGGCAAATAGTCACACAGTTTTAAGTGGCAATTAGGATTTGAACTAAATAGCTAACTGAATATTTGGCCTCAGGATATTTTTCACAGTTGAACAGTTTTTGAGTGATGATACGATGATAACTTATTAGTTGGAGCAAAGCACTTCATTTAGTAATTAAATGGCTATAAAATTGTGGACTTAGATTGTGTCAAATAAAAATTTTGAGTCTAGTTTTTACAGTAGGGCAGCTAGGTGGCACAATGGATAGAGTGTCAGTCCATGAGTCAGGAAGACTCGTCTTTCTGAGTTCGAATCTGGCCTCAGACACTTATTAGCTGTGTGGTTCTGGGCAGGTCACTTAACCCTGTTTGCCTTAGTTCCTCATTTATAAAATGTGTTGGAAAAGGAAATGGCAAACCATTACAATATCTTCGCCAAGAAAACCCAAAATAGAGTCACAAAGTGTTGGACATGCCTGAAACAACTGAACAACAGCAACAGAATTTTCCCAGTAAATACCATGCTTTCTGGAAAAGAAAAATTGATTTAATCATTTATGTGCCCTTGGAGAAATAATGCTGGCTTTCAAAAGTCCCAACCAATTTACAGGGTGACAATCCTTTACTGGAAAGAAATGTGATAAAGGTTTGAAAACCTATCTTTGCATTGTTTTCCATGAGAAAGCCTTGTAGCTTCAGGAAGGGCTCTTTGGGATAGCTGGTCTTAAGTTGAATTCAGCAGAAAGGTCATGGGAAAGCTTCTATTGTTCTTACATCCAGGTCACTTCTGGAGAGCTCACAGGACGGTGTTGGACTATGCATCAGTAGCCCTTTTCATCATGATATTTTACTGAAAAAGGAAAAGGAAATCCTGGAATATTTTGTTTTAAGGGACTTTGAAGAACAGTGTAGTTGGTAATCTCTGTGCACTTGCTTAAACTGCTTAGAGAAAAGACATTCCTGTGGAGAAAAATAAGAGAGAAAACTAAACTGTTTCTCTTCTTGTGTTGCTGACAGTTGCCATGTGTTATGAATCTTTCTTTCTTTCTCTTTCATTCTTTCTTTCATTCTTTTTCTTTCTTTCCTTCCATCTTTCTTTCCTTCCTTCCTTCCTTCGTTCCTTCCTTCCTTCCTTCCTTCCTTCCTTCCTTCCTTCCTTCCTTCCTTTCTCTTTCCCCTGCTGTGTATGAGTTTTGGTTGAATTCCCAAAATAGCTAAGCCAAGTGAAGTAGTCACTATGGAAACTGTAACTCAATCATTTGGTCATGTGCACTTAGCACTTACTGTTGAGGAATCAAATTACATACTGTATGCCTCCCGGCCTTTTTAGAATTGTGTCTGCATTTCTTGGGGAAGGAGGAAGAGGATAGGTCAGGTCAGAGGGTAGCATTTTATTTCTGTAATTTTTGGAAACTTTGTTACTGTATTGCTGTAAAGAAGAGTCCTGAAATGTTTGTGATTGAGAAGTGTCACAATGTTCAGGTTTCAAGATAATAACTGAAATACCAATGTGCTCTTGGTCAGGATTTTGGTTCCTGGTGAACCGAAAAACTGCTATCCCAAGCTAAATGTGGTTAACCTTCGCTTTCAAGCTTGCTTAGAGAAGGGCACATTTAGCTTAGGATAGACATTAACAAAACAACAACAAAACTTTCCAAATATGCTTTTATTCTACTAGCATGGATAACTTTACAAAGTGCCAGTCGGTAGCTTTTCCTTTTTACTTTCAGAGAAAAAAAGTTTGGATAGCTTTCATTTTTCTAGCACGTTTATTTCCAAATATATCTCTCCTCCACCCAGAGAGCCATCCCTTGTATCTAAGAATAAAAAAGAAAAAAATGTTCAGCAAAATTAACCAATACGTCAACTAATTCTGACAGTATATAGAATATACCACACACCTAGCTCTTGATGGAGAATCCAGTCAAGTTGGGAAGCATATGTATGTGTATGGTATGTGTGTGTGTGCGTGTATATGTAAGACACACGTATGTTTCCCAACTAGACTAGACACACACACACATACGCGCACATACACACTCACACACATTCTTCCCAAATAGACTGGCCTCCTTGAAGGCAGGGACTGTCTTATATCTCTTTGTGTCACCAATGCTTAGCAATTGCCTGATGTATGTTGAGTTGTTGTTGATTTATTTTTCAGTTGTGACCAACTTTTTGTCAGCCCACGTAAGGTTTTCTTGGCAAAGATACTGGAGTGGTTTGCCATTTCCTTCTCCAGGTCATTTTACAGCTGAGGAAACTGAGGCAAACAGGGTTAAGTGACTTGCCCAGGGTCATACACCTAGTAAGTATCTGAGGGCAGATTTGAACTCAGGTCTTCCTGATTCTTAATAAATGTTTTTTGAATGAATGAAGGAAAGTGATCATCAAGCCTCCTTCTGAGATAATCCTCTTTTGAGAATGGATCATCTACCTCCCAAGGCATCCCATTCCAATTTGAGATAACCTTGTTAACAAGATTTTTTATTCTATTAAGTAGACATTGGATTCTACAGTTCCATCGTTGCTTATAGTTTTTCTCTCAGGATCAAGTCTAGTCCACCTTTTACATTTCAGGCCTTTGAAAACTTCAATAACCATTGCCTCTCCTGGGCTCTAAATTTTCTCTTCTCTTTACTAAGCATACTGAGTTCTTGCAACTGATTCTCAGGTGCCATGATCTTAAGGTTAAGTTTACTGTTTATCCTGTTTATTATATACTCCAGCTGATCAGTGTCAGCTTTTTTGGGAGGGCGTATCAAACTATTGACTTGTATTAACAATTTTTCAGTTCACTTAGTCCCGCAAACTGGAAGTTGGAAGTGAGAAAGGAGGGCATTCTAGACATATGATTCGGAATCACGGATGTTCTGTTTACTCCAGTCAAAAGGACATTTTCCTGAGAAAACAGAAACAGAATAACAATATCCCAGTTCCGCCTTCTCTCTCTATCACCTGTTCTCAGAATCCAATATACGCTGAGTACTGGTACTATCCCTTCTTTGATTCTCCTCTTTTCCCAAATATTTAAAAACAACAACAACAACAACACACATACATACAACAGTTGTTCTTTACATTCTCCATAAAGGATCTATCCATCATGACAAGTCTTTGAATGAATCCTTTAATTTTTTTTTTTGGTACAAGTCCTAGGATCACCACTCATTATCTCTTATTTTCCTTATGTGGGATCACAGGATTTAGAACTAGACACAGTTGCCCACTTCCTTTCAGGACATAAATGTCCACGATGAAATATTTTGTACAGCTCCTCAAATGTACCTCACTTTTAATTTCATGCTCTTGCCCAGAGGGGTCAAATATCCTGCTGCTTGCCACATTCCTGGTGTGGTGACCAGATTAGAATGTAATTGGGAAATATTTAGCAAAATAAAGAAAAATACAAG